ATGTGTACGCGGACCTGCTTCACCTCGCTAGTCACCGTGAATACTTCTGGGACTGTTGCATTTTTCGTGAAATATGTCATCATTCCGTTACGAGACTGCTTTACTACTTGATTAAATCGTTTAGAACATCCAAGTATGCGTATGATTATCCAGAACCAGCGGCAGTTTACTGTGCCAAATCCGTTCGCCAATTCCACGAATATAATGTAGAGATCGTATGCATTTCTTGGCACTTCTGTTGCAGTTGCCAAACCGTGACGATTGTACTAACTATTACGCGGTTTTGTTGAGAGTCACTTCGACTTTCCGGGGGAAGTCCGTGTTCCAGATAGCCGCTGAGACGATTGAGAAGGATGCAGGCAAAAATCTTTACAGCGCTGTAATGCAACGGGATTCCTCTGCTATTGTCACCGAGTTACCAGCTCCTTATCCCTTTCAGAAGTAAATGATGGCCTCGTCCCTGAAATCTGGCAGAACTTGTCAATGGCGTAACATATGGAATAGCACTGCAAGCTTGTCCATCAGCGAAGGCCCGCCGTGCTTGAAGACTTTGGCCAGGATTGCGTCAGATACCGATAAATTCCCGCTGTTATTGTTTACGGGAGTGAACATGGAACGGCCAGGGCAGTACTCGTTTCACATGGAGGAGCCGGCAATGGCACGTCGGAGATCATGGATGGGTCGTGCAGGACGGCTCTAGAGTCTCCAGCCCAGTGCTTCGGAATCTGTGATTTCTCCGCCAGGAGTGTTGTTCCGTTGGGACTGAGAAGTGACACGAATCCTACGGCTGTGTGACCGAAGGTTACCTTTGTTGATGCGAAGAAACTCTCCCATTCATTGCGATCAGTGATTCCTGTATTTATTCAGCCTTGCAATCCATCCACGCATCATGTACTTTCCGCAGCTGTCGCTGCACCAAGCGGTAGCATCTAGAGAATGCAACTTTGCTTACGTCTGCGCGGTGGTTGGTTTTTTCTTCCAGGCCTCGAATACTGCCGTCCTCTCTTTGGTTTAATGAACGCCTGCGACCGTAATAAAATCGAAAATGTTCAGAGGGTTTTCCCCCGGAAACTGTTTTCTCAAGCTTCGTGCGGTATTTCTTATACTCAGAGATGCCAGCTGACGAACAGTAAGTTTTTGTGGGTTAGAAGACTCTAAGATGACCTTTGCTTCCTTTATCGCATCAACTCTAGCTCCAGTCTTCTGCTCATTGACAGTCTCACTCCAAGAGATCGGTCTTATGCCACGCGAAACTCCTGCATGGTGATTCCGCCGCCTCTTTGCACTACATCTAAGCGCTCCCTCTTATTTGCTTCCAAATATGCTTTCCTTTGGAATAATCGTCTGCCTGAAATTAGGTCATCGTCTAAGTTACTGGTATTTAAGTCGAAATAACGCAAACAACTTACACCGGAAAGCATAAAGGCAGTGTTAACGGTTTCAGTCCCGAATACTCAGCTTCTTGACAACGAGAAGGGTCCTCCTGGGATTTAGTGGTTGATCAAATGGTAACCCTCAATTATATTATTAGAAACCCGTTTTGAATTGGTTCCTAAATCCACTGCTATCACACCTCCCCCATAACAACGATTTTCGCGGTTCTTGATGTCATCTCCCGCATTCTGACCTCACGCGGCCTGTCGACGCTCACGGCGGAACCCTCAGTATTCGCCGTATACTAGTAGTTTGGTCGTACCACCCTTCCGCACACCTCGGCTGGGCTTGAAGCCTACTGTGGCCGATCGCGTCTGCGTTCCTCCCGTCTGGCCTCTTGGATGCGAAAAGTCTCATGCGGCGTATCAATCCGGCCCAGACGATGCCACTTGTGAATCCCGTATACAATACCACATGCAGGCCAGTCCTGTCCGACCCACATACCTACCCCTCAAGGCTGACGTTTATTTCTGCCCTGACGATATCCGATTATAATCCGTCATATACCGCCACATATAGGCTAGTCCTGCCCGCATTTTTCTGTTATTATTTTTATAGAGGGTTTTATTTCCTGTAAAATTAATCCAATCATTTTGAAATTGTTGTGTGCAGTTTTTTTCACCCCTCGCTAGTCATTTTTCTCAACGGACTACTAATTCAGAAACTATGAATTGCATTTTGTAAAGATTCTGCCTATCTCGTCTAAAATTCGCATGTAAATTTATTTTTACCTGTTTTGATGGGATCCCGACGGGTCTTTAATAAAAAATTAGTATACTTAGTATTATTATTCGAGCAGTCTATTCTTCTTGGCGAGCAGGTTGCTGATATTAGCGTCCTCGTCAAACCAGTCCTGGTGTAGACAATGTGCGCATCCGAGAGCGTCCAGGGCGATGGAGTGGATTATGCTCTGCAGCTGACACCACTGTCTCCCGGGGCGTTATCTATGGAGCCTGCAGTTCTCGCAATTGCTGGGTCAATTGATTTCTGAAACTGAAGCCGTGGCCAGGAAAATTAAACAGAGCAGCATTTAAATTACCTGGTGGTTGCTTACCTTGCGATCCACTGTGAGGTTGCAGTCGGATTAAAGAGAGGAAATTCATTATGCTTAACCACATTTGTCTTTTGTTTAACATTTGTTCGCATGAGGATCTGAATTCCGACCACATAAGTCGTATTAATAGAGTAATCGGTGCTTATGATTGAAGAAAACGTATGTGGATTTTGAAATCGAAGCA